TAGCCAGCTCCAGACAGTCCCAGATGTCCCTAGACTTACAGTTGTCCTCCAAAATCTTCCTCCTCCATCCTGCCATCTCAGCCTTGATCTGTACTTCCTGCCATGTCCCTCTTCATTCTCTTCCTAACCAGGTGACCTTCACGTGTTCCTGCTCTTCTTGATCTACATCTTGGAGGCAACACAGCAGGCATAAAATCCTTGTCACCTGACTCACACTCTTGCCTCAGGCGACATTATCTACATACTGCGTGATATATCTCATGTATTTGATTTCCTCTCCTACAGTGTATTGCATGACTCATATTCTTACCATAGACTCTGAGCCTAAGACACATTTTGTCTTTTCAGGTCTTAATTTCAGCTCATTTGGGTTTATCCCTCACTCTAGAGGGTCTTAACCTTTGTGCCCAAACACACACAGACCAGCTGAATCATGCTGGTCTTTCTATATCTGTGTACATCAAGCTTGTTATCACCTATGACTGACATACAGCTATCAGACAACTGCCCCAACTTCTGGGACCTTGGAATTTCCCAATACTGTAACAATACACCTCATACAAAGGGTACAAAAAACAGCAGTGGGAAAAGCCCCAGAGACTTGAGCACCTGTTTGCTGCCTGTTTGCAGATGGCTAAGTCTGATTACAGAAAAAGGGTAATCTCTAAATTCTGTGGGATGAATTAAGTAGGTTTTCTTAAGATCAATGCAGTCTGCCTCCATGTTCATGACAAATTAGTTTCCTTCCATTCTTGGTCAAAAACTGATGTTGTGTATTTAACAAGTCCTGTTGAGCTTTGTCTGGAAGATGAACAACAATGATCAAACACTTAATCTGATCTATATCAAAGAAAGTGGCATCAGACTTCAACAACTTTGAAAGATGCTAAAGTGAAAAGAATATTGACACGAAATGATTGCAGTCTGCTCCATCCTCAGACACCTCTTTCTATTTCCCTTTCCTTTTTCTTAGATTACAAACACAAGTTATTGGGGGCGTGGGGGAGGGAAGATAACAAGTTCCTTTCCAACTATGACTCTAGATTTAGGTATCAAACGTAAAGTACAAACATTTTCACATACCCTAGTTCCTTCTTTAAGAAAGACACAAACCTTTTCTTTTTCACTTTCTATATAAAAATGTCAACACCACATAAACTGTGATAATGACTGGCCCTTCAAATATGATTCCAGTGAAAGCTCTGGCCCATTCACAACTATGAGCAAACTTCTGTAACAATCAATTTTTAAGAAACAGAACAGGCTGAGAAACAGGATTTCCTTCCTACAGGAAAAAAAATCTGGTTTCAATCCAAATCCCATTGAAAGACACTCTCAAAACTTTTTGCTAACCAAAAATTCTTGAGTTACACACAGACGTACTAAAACAGTGCAGCTTAAATATCTTCAGTATTCATACGTGAAAATTATGTTCTCTGTAGCAACAAAGATGCTGACAAGGATGTGAATGTCACTGCCCAGCTGTGGGAACTCCAGGCATCTACAGTTCCCGGGAGTCCACTCTCAGACTGTCCCTGTGCTACCAGGACCAGAGTCGCAGCTCCTCAGTCGGGAGCCTGACAGCTCTGTGAGCCAGGCCCAAGAGATGAGTCTCCTACACAGCAGGCCCTACGTGAGTTTTTAAAGACCCTCAGTCTCAGATCCATGTGACTGGGAATTCTGGCTTAGGAGGTCTGGTATGTTTGGAAGCCTTCTGTGGAACTAACACTGGCTGATCTGCCCACAAAACCATCCTAGCCCTGGGAACTCAGAGCATTTAAGGCCCTTAGCTACCGAGCAAAACCTTACAACAGTATTCCCTGGAGCTGGACTGCTTGTGACTGTAAGGTTCATTGCACAGGTCACTAAGTAACTCCTGAAGTACTGAACACAAAGAACTCATAATGTGCTTGGTGCTAGGGAGGCATAAACCCAGGAGGCTATCCCAGTATTAGGGACTTGCTGTTTGTAGGGTCCCTATTTCCAGGGCAGATGTCACATAAAAGTCCTAACTACAGAGAGCATAAAGTTTTTGAGAAGTCTTCCTTTTAAATCATGAAGGCACTTCTCATTAGAGTTATGGGCTCCTCTTTAAACAGACTGTGCAAGAGAGTGCTGAACTTTATCTCCAGGAATTGTAAACATACTGAAGGAAAAGTAGTGAAATGTCTCATACATGCTCTCATATTGCATGCCTCCGGAATAAGACTGGATATGTTGGCACACACTGTGTACATGAGCTGCCTGTTAGAGCAATTCAGTGGAATTCAGGAGTCCACCCACTCTTTGTCCCCTGTGCATCAGAATGTAAGTTACTGGTCAGAGCTCTAATTTACTAAATGGCTTGTGACTTTCTTACCACAAAAACTTCCTTCTCCCTCATAGTGGTGTACTAGTGATCGACACAGGTGCACAAACTAGATTTTCTTTTTCTCACTGGTAATAGAAAAGGAAGAGCTTTTGGATTTGTGACCAAAACATTGCTGATAACACAGGGATGTTTCAGCTATCGCTGGACAGTGCTTACACATCTTCAGCCTTTTCTGTTTCTCAGACAGGACAGTTGACACCAACTGACCAAAGGGATATTCTACACCATATGCATATACATGTATATTCTATACCATACATCATGCTCACAATAAAAGCTGGGGGAAATTGTAGGAAGGGCATTTGTAGTTAAAGTCTCTGTCTTCCCAAGAAGCTGTTACACATGATGGAGTCCTGCTTTCACAGAAAGGGCTAAATACCTACCTCCTGATTGGAAGTAGTGAATTAATTCTTTATTTTGCTTTGCTTGTGCACGTGACTTTTCCTTCATCTACTAAACTGTCTGCAGCTCACTCTACGCATTTTTGCACTGTTACCCTACTGATTCTCTCCTCCATCCCACTGTGGGGGAGCAAGTGGCAGCATGGTGCTACCTACTAGGGTTAAACCACAACAACTGTTTAACCACACCAGAATCAATACATTCCCTTTTCAATGCCTCCAAACAACCATTAGCTTATGGTCGAGGTTAAATCCAGCCACAAGAAAGGATGCTGGACAGATACAAATAACCTTCTTATCAATCTATATGGACAGGACAATTTGTTTCTTAAAGTGTACACACCCATGAATGATAACTGCAACTCTGAATTTAGAATACGGTTGGGTTCCTTGCTAATGCTAATGGCTCAGACAGTAACATCATCAAGTAACACTATGTAAATGCTTTTAGAAAGGACTCTGTCATTTTTCAGATATATTAAATCACCACAATACAACTGAACATGAACCTTCCAGATCAGAAAACTTCAACATCCTAAAGCTGCAGCGTATCCCTTCCTTAACAGAGACCAGTACAGTAAATCATGCCTAGAGCACTACAGTAAATACAATCTCTACTATCTACACAGGTTGCCAGTGGAATTGCAATTCAAGTTCCAGACCTCGGCTTTTTCTCTAATGTCTCACATCCTTTGGCTCAGAATCCAACAACAAATATGTACACCACATAACACTGCCACCACAGAGGTCCCCAAAGCGTGCAGTGCAAAGTGTGCTGGTACACAGAGCACTCATGTGCAGTCCCTAGCCCGGCCTCCATAAAAAGAGATCAGCAGATCAGGGCATCTGTTGCTGCTTCCAGTTTCAAAGCTCAGTTCTGAAGTACATGACTCAGTTTTTTTAACCTTGCTTTCCGAGCTGTCAGAGGAATGTATATATTTATTCTTCTAAAGCACTCATCTGCCCAGAACAAATAAAACCCAAACAAAATAAAAAGGAAAACCCTACCAAAATAGGACACTGTACTGTACATATCTCTGTCTCCCACAGACAATGAGTGTATGTGAAGCTGAGTAACGTTGCTCAACATACTACTGAAATTCACCCAGATGCTACAGTTTGCCATCTGTACCTGTCCTTCTTACAATATTTTAGTGTCTCTCTCTCCCATTTGATTCACCTAAAGAGAGACTAATTAAAACTAGAAAGGGATACTCTTGGGGATAAAAATAAGACAACCATATCCAAGCATAAACTACACCATTATTGGTAAAAATGAGGTCAGTATCTGCATTAGTTAAGCAACTACACTGAGAATTATGCACTGATTTTGTCATATTCCCGTTAAAGTTGGGCAAACCATAATATCCACAAGCATCACATCTAGCATTGTATGACTGACATACAACATTCTTTTATTAGGGTATATCAGATGACGATAAATCTCCAAATGCTTGAGTAACTTATGAAATATTCTAGGTATTAATTAAAAATTAATCGATAATGTACATTCTGTGCAAAACCATCTTTTAATGCAATGCATTCGTACCAAGAATTCTTTTGTCTGTTTAACTTCCAAAACTGATCAAACTAAATCACATATGGGTATTCTTACTATATAAGACGATGATCAGCATGGAATTTAATATGCAACATCCATCCTCCAACGGGCATTTTCCAAATACACAATACCTGCATTATTTGAAATGATCCAATAGTAGAAAGATGATGGATCCAAGAAAAGACCAACAATAAATCAGTAGTGAACTGTACATACTTAACCACACAGTGCTATGCTGACAGCTAGCTGTATAATGACAACAATAATAACCACGTAGAGTATATACTCCTTTCTCAGGTCCTGAACTAAGTCAGCCCATGAGCAAGAGCACTTGGCAAATGAGGAACACCCTAAAAACAATTGTTTAGGCATTAAATTTGGATGCAGGCAGAACAGATTCCAACAAGAAAAAATACCTGAAAAGGTGTTTGTTTTGTAATAAGAATCTATTCATTTTAGCATGCATTTTAGTTTATTAAACTAACACAACTAGTTATTATGACACATAATGATTGCAAAGGAAAACATCTGAAAACATGAAAACCTTTTTTAACTGTTAACTTCATATATGAGTACATAAACTAGAGAATATTATATAGTATTAATAATTTTGCAATTCACCCTATACTTAAAGAGGATAGGGGTAAAAAAAATAAATCTTCATTACCTTTAAGCATTGTTCTTCCAGTTGATCCTCCAAAGATATTTAAAAGACCACTTCTTGCTCCTAATGATGTAGTTGCTTCTAGTAAAGCACCAGTTATATAGTTAGAGAGTGCAGTCCTCTGTAAAGTGGCACGATATTGACAGTAAGCATCTGCTACACATGGTTTTACACAAAATCCATCATCTTTACAAATACAGACTGTAACAAATGTTGGGAGCTTTCTCCGAAGATGAGGAATATATTCAAAAATATCTTCTGCTCCCTCCTCTTCTTCTCTCACTGTACTGAAGACCTGTGAAGAATGCAAAACCATGGACTGTTAGTTCATTTGCTTAAGATAATACAAAGAACACCAAAAACTCCAAATGACCATGACATCCTGTAAAGTTGAACAATCTGCAAGATCTATGTATCCAGAACTGATTTGTTAGGCTTTTGATCTGGGGTCCCAAAAAGGGTTTTTAAATAAGATGTCATTCTGGCTTTCAATCTATGGTTACAAGCATTCTAATGAAAACCAGTTTTAAGTATAAGCATTAGACTAAAAAAAGGCCACATCAATATACCTGGTTGACATTTAAAACAAAGAATATGCACAAAATTGTTTATAAGACTATTAAATCTACTGTCCTTCCAGAAAACTCTTAAAGATATCAGTAGCAGAAAAAACAGATCAACTCAGGGTTGGCACTTTTTCTTGCTGAGTGGGGTGGGGTTTTGCAAACAGAAATGGTTTTAAGCACTCTGAGCCCTCTTTCAAAATGTTCTGGTGTCACGTTCATTGCGTTACTTCCAGCCTACGCACAGGTCCTCCATCTAATATTGGTTTAGTACTCTTTTTCCAATATTTGTGATAACACACTAATGAACTTCAGCCTGTGGCTTAGCAACTAAGTAGTGTTTGCTTATTTAAAAGAGTCTAATGATCAAAGCAAGAATCTGGAAGAAATCTTTTCATTTAATATACAAGGACAGCCTTGATTCTTTTCATTCTTGTATGCTGACTTACTGATTAACATTAAGAATTTGTTTCAATGATCTGTGCTTTGTAATTACAAAGTGCAAACTACTAAATTAACTAAACAAACTAAAAATTAACACAGAGAAACGTAATGGTAACTGTCACTAGGATAGGTGCTATGACAATTTTCATGAGGTTGTTCCCCATCAGTTCTTACACATGCAGAAGAAATAAGCTGATGACTTCATGACAGTTTTTTGTAATTAATGCTTTGTTTCTCGTTGCCATCCTTCCCCACACATAGACAAATTACAGCTATCCATCAACATGGCAGAAACAGTAAAACAGCATCCACTCCTACAAAGCAAGCACACATGTGCTCAGTCAGATGATAAGAAACTGTTTGCACAGTCCGTGCACGCCACATGTCAGAGGCACTGGCACCCTCACCACAGGGCACACACGTGTCCAGCCACGTATCCAAGGAGTGAAGTGGCTCCCGGTACAGGGATCTGCACACCCATCCACTTCTGCCCTAAGACTGGGATCTACCCTGCCACGTAACTGATGAGGGTTCAAATGCCCTGCTCCCACAAGGGATCTGACCCTCCAGTAACAGAAGCCGTGAATGATGATGTTTACCTTTCATCCAGGTAAATAAACTGCAGAAAATCAAAGACAATCCAGTATATTAAAGCACATATTTGTTATCTCAGCTTTAATTTTTGTATTAACCATTTCTTGAGGAAAACAGTAAAATTTTATATTGAAAATATAATTATTAATTAGTAATGTAATTCAATTATCTGAAAGAGAACACTGACATATTTATTAACATAAAATAAAAACCAAAACTTTCACATGTTGATTATGGCTATATAACTCAATTCCATTAAAATATGGCTTCTGTAGCCTTACACAGTGAAATGCTGTGGTATATATCTTTTTTCTCCTCTCCTTGCAAATATTCCAGAATTTGTTTGGTCTGAGGCTTCTAGAAATATTACACCTCTGCTTGAGCATCTTTATCTTCTTTTTTTTGGTATATGAATTTTATGGACTCAGACTGTCAGTAAGAATACATCTCTACCATCATTCAGAAAGAAAGTGCACTCAAAGTGGATGGGATATGTGCAGATCTTTTAATCAAGTAAGTGTCTGCAAGGAACAGTACCTTTTCAAAAGGTGTACTACGAAATAGTAAACCTGCCTTATGCCTGGATTATGAGTGTGTCACACACAGCAGACATAATTAGTCTTTTTAGCTTGTTTAAAAAAATATTTAGTTAATGAATATAATTTAACTTCTCAAAACTGCAGTTACCATCCAAAATATTTTTAAAATTGGGTTCTGCAACTTATAAAGGCATGTTCTGTTGCCTACACAACTAAAATTTCTTTCAGCTGCCAAAGCAAAGAAACCATTTGTTGACAGAAGTAGGCGACAGTGTTTTGCTGGAGAGATTATACATAGAATAATGGTGTTAATCTCTTCTGTACAAAGTAGACTTCAGGGCACTAGCTGTCTCCAAAGACTCTGCACTTCACGTAACATTTGCAAATTCTGTTTGTTCTCATGTATTAAAGTTCTGCATGTGTTACCTGTGCTGCACACTGATAAGTTTACAAAAAAATACAGAAAAAATACAATGTGTATACTTGTCAGCCACTGAAAAGAACTGAAACAATCAGAATAGCAACATATCCCTCAGGTAACTGATAGGGGAAATCACCTTTCAGAAAGATTGAACCAGGCAATTGGGGAAAGTTAATCTTGCCTGGGAGACAGAGAAGTTTATTCCAAGCCAGGGCTTATAGTTCATCCTCGCAGATGGAGTTATATTGATCCGTATCACTACCAAAGAATTACTAACATAATTAAACACGAATGTGAACAAAAAAGAGTAAAATACAGCACTAAACTGACAGCTACCTGTCAAAAAGCAACAAATCACTCCTGATTCACTTTTGCCTTACATATCAAACCAAAGATTTCAAAGCCATCTGCAGTCTGATGCTGCCATGTCTCACCTACTACATATCAAGCAATAACTCACAAGAAACTTGGGACAGTATCTGAATCTAAAAGTGTTGTGATATTAAACATACTGCAATGAGCACACATGTAAATGGTAATGTTTATACACAACTATAGTACTTCAAGATTTACTTTGAAAATAAAAGCATGCATTCTAGCACTTTTTCTTTCATCTTTTTTTTCCCCAAATACTTTTAAAATAAGAAATAAGCTGAAACAGGAAACTCCACATACACCAGTATTCCAATGAAAGTATACTATGGCTTCAACAGATTTTTACTTTTTTCTATTTTTTTAGGCAAATTTTAATGGTAAGTAAAAGGAAAATGAAAATTATTTTCAACATAAAATTTTTCAGACTACTACAAACAAAACCCCCATCCTCAAATTCAAAAATGAAAATAAGCATTAAAATAAAGATTAAATTCAGGCAGAATTCCATCCTACAACCAAGTCCATATTTGGAAAATAAATGGAAAAATAGATTTCTCAGCTCTTAATAATGTATGCAACAAATCATCAAAACTTTACTTTAAAAAAACCTTAGTTTTGCTTGTAGTAACTTAAAATGGTATCTGCAATTTAACTTATTGATAACCTTTAGGCAATAAAACTTTCTTACAGTGACAACAGACATATTTTGTCAAGATATTAAAAATATCTTTAAAAATAACTATAAGAACAAGTAACTCACGGTGGCCTTGAAACTATTCCTTACTTTTCTCTTACTTTTTTCCTGTTTAAGCATCACTGCAACTGCAAATTGCAATATGTCCTTTTCTCCATCCACATTAAGATTACTACGTAGAAATGGCAGAAACCTAAACACCGTAGCTCCTTATTGCCCTACAGTCTACAACAGATATTTCCCCAAAATTTAGCTGGAGTTCAAGGGTGCTGCTTTACTGCAAATATTGGATATGGCAGTTCATAAAAAATAATTGTTCTGATTTCTTACTTAAACATACATGCATCTTTTATTGTGATCTTTTCTTTCTCTTTTCATATTTTTTCTGCCTCAGGTATTTAGCTTAAAACTTGGAGGCATGGTATCATGTTGCCAAACATCAAGCAGCTGCTTAGTGCATATGAAACCCCGAAACTGGAATTATTCCCACCAAAAATTCCCATTATAAGAGGGTAAGCTTAATTTCTCTAACTTTATTATAATAACAAAGAATATGTGTACCCAAGAAGTTCATCACAAAGAATAGTCAGGAAAAACGATGCTTATTGATACACTATAAAAATAAAGAAAACAGGGTGTAATGGGGCTTTAATACTTTACTGTATCTGTCCAAACTCTCTCTAAAAACATCTATCGATATATCCTGAACAACCAAAATGAAATGCCGAAATGCAGGAAGTGTGTGTGTATGCTCAGGTGGTACTATGCATTTCACTCTGATTTCCTGGCTGTTCACCTACAGAGTGTTTTTGTGATGGAGGGTTGCTGACAGCCCATGCACAGCCTTCCTGCGACACAAAGCCTTCATTTGTAGCATGTTTTTAAAGGAATTTTAAATGCCTGTAAACCAGAATGGTATATTAACAAGTAGTAACAGGACAGTATGCCTTAAAGATCACTTAAATATCTCCTTTGAAAACACAAAGGTTTTACAGAACATACAAGTCTAAACACAATTAGCATCACAGGAAATGCTGCTCTTTCCAAATTTGTTCTGTTTCAAGAAAAATTACATTAAAATAAGGAAATTCTGATGGTGATTTTTCATTTTGGCTCTGCACATTTTTTAGAAGAAAACCCTTACTAATATTGACCAAATGAAGCTAACAATGATCTCTTGGAAGACATGACCAAGGACCATTCCAATTGCTTTTACATGTATTTATTCTACTATGTAATTCAAACAACTATAGCATGGAATAAAAGAGCAGTCTGTTATGTAAAAAGTACTTTTGGCAAAAAGAAACTAATATGTCAGGTGAACCTGCATGGAGGGGAGAGGGTTGAAAGGAGAAACACACATACCAGAATAAGAATTTGCTCAGAACAGAAGAATGAGGCATTAATGCACAGTTGATCAATACTTCAATTTTATGTCTTGAAAAATGGCACTTCAGCATCACACTTCGGAGCATTTAGTCATAAAATTTAAAAAAGAGGTGATAGTGACAGTCAAATTCCCGAAGTATTGGGTTTTCTCAGCTTTATATTGTTCAGGTTATGACAACAGCCACAATGATTAGCATGTGACATTTCAAGATCACTGCTAAAGTACAAATTCATAGATTACGAAATGCTTTTTTGTAATGATGTTGCCTACCTAGA